TTTGATGGGTAGCATATGTTGAAATACATTTTTAATACTGTCCAGTTGCTCATCGCCCACCCAATAGTTGAAATCGCCCACGGGTGGGCGAAATCGCCATGTTAGGAAACCTTGTCTTAGATAATACGCATTGTAAATTTTTTGTGGTTAATATTTATAGACCGTTACCGTCTGAGTTGACTGGGTTGCTCGATATGAAGGTATTAGTAACTTAGCTGCACTCTCAGAATAATGTCCTGCTTGTGTATTGTATATCCTTATCCGTCTGGGTGCTACGATGAGTATATTGGGCCTTGTATCTGTACCCCAGTGTCATCTTTTTTTTAAGTCTGATACTCTCTAAGTACCGGGCGTAACAGCAAAATTATCCTTTTGTTAGATTAAGCTTTGAAACGTTGTATCTTAAAAAATGATTAAAGATATATTACTGGAATTCTCCGAGGTTTTTATAACACTATTGGACTTTATTTTGAGCAATAAGATTATATAATAAGCTTAACAGAAGAATCGTGATGAAATCGATCATAAACGAAAATGACATGTTCATCATTTAATTAATCATAGCTAAGGTTCGGAAGTTGTTTTTTTTTTTAAGCATTACGCCCCAAGCAAGGCGTGAAGCCACTAGGATGCAGGGGGTTGCGGAAGATTTGGAGCGAGAGCAGATAAGAGTGATAGGAGAAAGGATGAGGAGAAGGATAGTGGGTAAATCAACGTAACTGGAGATGTCGATTGACATTACATTTGAATAGTCGGAGATTACAGCTTTCAGGGAAACAGTAATTGGGGAGGGTGTTCCACTGGCGAGAGGTGCGAGGTATAAGCTACTGGTGTAGAAGAGACGGCTGCATTTGAAAGTTTTTACGGTGTAAGGGTGGAGCGGGATGCCAGCCTCGTAGGGCGCTTGAATTCATGGAGTCTGGGGAACCAGAGAAAGCAGCTCGTCAGAGCAGTTACCATGGAAGTACTTGTAGAAAAGACAGAGAGAGGCGACGGTGCGTCTGTGAGAGATCATGAAGGATTAAAATAAAGTTCAGATATATATTATTCCAGGGTCATTTTTCAACTTATTCAAGGAGATCTTCGCCCTCTCTAACCTTCTAAGTTTCTGTCCTGGAGTAACAAGGTGCCTCACAAATTTCACGTACGGTTTCATTTTCAAGTCCTTTTTTTCACTGCTCTTTGACTGTCATAATTGAAACTCCTCTCTCACGTACCAGACGTCTTATAAATTGAGTTCGATCTTTTCGAAATGCTCAATGACGATCCCTCTTACTGTTGGGGCCTCCTGATCCAGTTTTCCTCTCCCTCTTCCCTCTTTTTAAAATTTATTCACCGTTTTGATGGTTCTTGAATGAACTTTGAAGATGAAAGCCAGATTATGAATGTTGGTACAATTACTGAAGTCTTCAATGATCTTTTTCCTCTCACCATTGCTCAGTTGGGAATATCTAGTGGGGCTGACACAGAATGATTTTAACTTGTTCTCATTTTAACTGGATAACCCAAAGGGTTTTTTAGTGATTCTTATGAAAAATAGTGTCAAGATGGCTAAATGTCTTATCTGAAAACCTGGCAAAAAGAAACCCAATTAGTTTAATAGTTTTTTGAGGTTTTTTTTTAATGTTAAACATTTTGTGGGATGGACAATGATGCAGTTAAACGATTTGGATAATCTTGTTGTTACACCAGCTATAATATCTGTGACAGAGGAATGATACATGCATTTCCAACTGTCAGTAGCCGAGAATAAACAAATGAATTTTATGTGAGATACGAAAATTTTGACTGACAAGCGCTTGGAGAGAAATCGCCCTGATATCTTACTTGTGCACAAAAGCTGTCCTGAACGGATGGTGATAGACGCTGGGGTAACCTGGGATAGGAGGAACAGCTGAAAATGCAGAAAAATGTACCAAGCAGCAGTTGCCCCCTTTGTTGTTGGCATACTTGAGGCTATTTCCAGGGACCTTTCCAGCTCGCAAGACGCATTAGGGATATATGACATCATTGGCAGTGTGAAGGTGACAGCGTTGCTTGGACCAGTTCATATGCTGAGGAAAGCGTTATGCTTTTTAGTGGGATCCGAGATGCGATCATCACTACCCAGAGTCGAAGAGGACAGCGAATCAAATCTCTATATATAAAGTTGTAGCCTCTGTTTGTCTGTCCGTTTGTTATTCCTCCTATGGTTTTGGAGATAAACCCCCATAAACATATATATTCTGAAACTAGATTAGCCATGGTACTTGGTTAAGTATATTTCATCTTGATCAAAGGGGTTCCATGGGAAGTGGGGGGTTCAACCCCCCCCCGATTTTATTTTCCTTTTGGTTTAAATTAAATTTAAATTTGAACAAGGAGATGACTCCTATTCAAAATACAGAAGGCGAAAGCCAGAAGATGGAGGTCACAGCAAGATAAAAATGAGACACTATGGATGTCAAGTTGAGCAAGAAATCACCAATCAGTGGTTAGTGCCTTACAATACATATTTGTTGCGATAACTCAACTATCATATCAATGTTGAAATTTGCTCATCAATTCATTCCATCAAGTATTGTATCAAATACACCTCAAAGGGGTCAGATCAATCTCTTTTTGCACCCAGAACTGATTTTTTTTCCTCTTGATTTAAATTAATTTTAAATTTCAACAAGGGGTTGATACATATTCAAAATATAGAAGGAGAAAGCTAGAAGATGGAGGTCACATCGGCAAGATCAAAATGAGACAATATGGATGTCAAGTTGAGCAAGAAATCACCAATCAGTGGGTAGCGCCATGCAATAATTCAACTGTCATATTAATGTTGAAATCTGCTCATCAGTTCATTCAATCAAGTATTGCATCGAATACATATCAAAGTGGTCAGATCAAGCTGTTTTTACCACTCCCCCCCCACACACACACTGATATTTTTTTCCTTTTGATTTAAATTAAATTAAGATTTGAACAAGGGAATGACTCCTATCCAAAATATAGGAGGAGAAAAGGCAGAAGAGGGAGGTCACATTGGCAAGATCATTGATTAATATTGAAATGCATCATTTTTCTCCACAAATTATAACAATGATTTAAAATCAATTATCATTTTCTTACAAAAAATGTGTGACACACAGCCAGACGCGGGTAACTTAGCTAGTAATAATAATAAAAATAATATTAATAATATAGTCTTAGTTTTTATATGTGCACATGAAATTAATGTGTATTTTGCAGGATGTATAATGCTATGCAAAACAAATGTGAAGATGAGAGAAAATGGAAAATCTGTAAACGACGCGTTTCGCCCAGAACATCTGCTTTCTCTCTCTGGCTTCTTCAGGTTAAAATGAAAGAAAGACAAAACTGTATGTAAGGAAAAATCTATTGTAATCTCTACAGATAAGTGGAGAACATAAGCCTTAATATTTTGAGTCGGATTAAAATTTCTTTGCACTTTATAATTAATTTTCCTACACAGTATTTACAGGTTTGTTTATAGACTGATCCAGCCATGAATGTCTTGTTCCGTTCTACTATATTTCGCCATCTTTGAAGTAGTTTTATGATTTCGTTCTCCCTGAACTTGGCGTGGCTGATGGAATGATGCAGATGGTTTTCCAGGCTTTCAGAGAATTACAGCTGCATCTATCGAGAGAAATTTTTAGGGGGTCGAAATGTGGTAATCCGAAGATACAAGTTCGGATCAGGGTAGCGGCTGTTGCAATAGACCTGAACTGTAACAATTTCTGCCGGTTTTGCAAAAGATTTGAAATTTGGCATTGTTCCGATTAAAGACGACATGCTTTTGATTGGCCAATTCCGGGTGCTATTCGTCAATTGCTGTCTTTAATCCATCCAATCGGGAACAGTACTAGTTCGAACTGAATGACGGACATTACAGAAAGAATCCAGAATACATTATGCCCGTCCAATCCTACGAGATACACCTCATCTCTGGATGTCGGCCGGTTTTTGAATTTGTTCAGCGTGGCTCCTTTTCCCAAAAATCTTTTCGCTCCACATTGCTGTAAACAATCCAATTCTCGTCGTTCTTTTAAAATATTTCGTTTTTTGTTGCTTTGAAGCAAAGAATCGCAAATTGAAACTCAATTAATTTCGATTCCCTTAAACGGTGAGGCGTAAAATCACTGTAATTATTCACTTATCCAAGTTCAAATACATTACAACAATCATTTAAGGTGTGGATTACTTCTGCGATGCCCCGTGTTACGCGACCAGGATTATTCTTAATCATCATTTCAATTTCATTAACATTAAGGGAAGGTTCTTAGTTTTCCACTTCTGAGCCTAGGGAACCATATAAAAACAGTTGTTTAGGCAATGGTACCATCTCCAAAAACGCTACTTATATTTTTGCTGTTTGCACATAATTTTTGCTTTCTGTAAATAAAAGAATATAAAAAAAAACAACGAAAATACATGACACTTTCCCCCATTTTTTTACTTTTAGCGTAAAACTCATTTAAAATATGCAATCCACGCATAAATGGCGTGTTGAAATTTCACTTTTCATCATACGTATATAAATTGCTTGTAATAAATTTCAGTCACTTATGAAACGATGTCATGTGTTCAACTGCCACCTACTGACAAACGCTACGAACTTTTGTTTCAAACCAATATAGTAATAATAATAATAATAATAATAATAATAATAATAATACAGTTGAGTCATAGGGAATCTTTAGATGTGTACATGAAATAAGCTTTGACGTAAAGGTCTGTAAAATACGAAAATACTTTAGATACATGTACTTAAATGCTAAATGGCGTGAATATTCGTAGTCACAAGGCAAATTGTCATTAATTTATTTTGCAATTTGAGTGGGATGAGTTTTAAACGATTTACCCAAAGCAAAGTTTTTTGTTTGGACACACACACACACACACACACACACACACACACACACACACACACACACACACATATATATATATATATATATATATATATATATATATATATATATATATATCCCAGTTGCCTTGGTATGCACATATTTGTTCTTTTTTTTTTCTTTCAATTGTTCGTTTTCTTCTTCTCGTTTTCTTTCTTCCTTTCTTTCTTTTCTTTTCTTTTTCTGTCATTCATTTTCATTTTTCGTTCTTTCTTTCTTTCTTTCTTTCCTTCTTTTCTTTCTTTCTTTCTTTCCTTCTTTCCTTCCTTCCTTCCTTCTTTCTTTCTTTCTTTCATTCACTTGTTCGATTTATCTCCCTCTCATTCTTTTTTTTCTTTCTTTATTTTTCGCTCTTTCATTTTTTGTCTTTCTTTCTTTCTTTCTTTCTTTCTTTCTTTCTTTCTTTCTCTTTCTTCCTCTATTTCTCTCTCTCTCATTCTTTCTTTCTTTCCTTCTTTCTTTATTTTTCGCTCTTTCATTTTTTGTTTTTATTTCACTTTCTTTCTCTCTCTTCCTCTATTTCTCTCTCTCTCTTCTTTTTTTTTTTTTTCTTTATTTTTCGCTCTTTCATTTTTGTCTTTCTTTCACTTTCTTTCTTTCTCTTTCTTCCTCTATTCCCCTCTCTTTCTCTCTTTCATTATTTATCTTTCTTTCTTTCTTTCTTTCTTTTAGTTTTTGCTTTCTTTCTCTTACTATTCTTCTCTCTCTCTCTCTCTCTCTTTCATAATTTTTTCATTCATTTTTACTCTTTGTTTTTTTCTTTATTTCTCTCACTTTACTTTCTCTTTCTTTCTTTCTTTCCTTTTCTCTTTCTTTCTCTTCTTTATTTCACTTTTTCGTTTTCTTTCTTTTTTCCTTGTTTCTCATTGTATTTCTCTCTCTTTCATTTTTTACCTTTCTTTCTCCCACTTTCTTTCTTTCCTTCATTCTTTCTTCGCCATTATTTAATACTTTTTACTCTTTCTTTTTTCTTTCTTTTTTTAGTCTTTTTTTCTTTCCTTCTTCCTCATTCTGTCTGGTTTTTTCTTTCTTTCTTTCTTTTCTAAAAATATCCTTTCTCGGTGCCAGTAATCGCCATGTCTTTTTTTTCTTTTACCTCACGATGATTGCTTTTCTTTTGTGCTGGACGCAGAACCTGTTCAATGCAAACAAGACTGTTCTTTGGAATTGTCTTCAAACTAAACACTAATCCGTTGTCCACACTTTATGGCACATAGACACTTCCTGGCATATTCCTTTTGATAACACACAGGTAAACACCGTCTCGTTTATGAAAAGAGGACCACAGTTCTCATCATTAAATCAGGTAAAAATGCAATTCCATTTTTCCTAAAAGAAAGACCGCGACACGGAGAAAGAATATCTGAAAACTGAAGAAACGATGACCCTTTTCTTTTCTTCTTCTTCTTCTTCTCGGCACTATTATTATTATTATTATTCCTCTTCTCTATCTTCGTCTTTTTCGCCTTCCTCCTTCTTGTGTTCCATCTCCTTCTCTTGTCCCCCTCCTCCTTCTTCTTGTCCTCTTCTTTCTTCATCTTGTCTTCCTCCTCCTCCTCCTCCTTCTTCTTATTCTCCTCCGCCTTCTTCTTCTTGTCCTCCACTGCCTCCTCCTCACTTTTCTTCTTGTCTTCCTCCTCCTCATTCTTCTCATTCTCATTCTCCTCCGCCTTCTTCTTCTTGTCCTCCCCTGCCCCCCCTCCTACTACTCATGTTTCTTCTTATTGTCTTCCTCCTCCTCATTCTTCTTCTCATTCTCCTTCGCCTTCTTCTTCTTGTCCTCCCCTGCCTCCTCCTCCTACTACCCATTTTTCTTATTCTTGTCTTCCTCCTCCTCCTCCTTCTTCTCATTCTCCTCCACCTTCTTCTTCTTGTCCTCCCCTGCCTCCTCCTCCTCATCATTTGTATCCTTCTTGTCCTTCTCTTGTCTTTCTCCTTCTCCTTTTTTCTTCTTCACCTTCCTTTACTTGTTGTTCTCCTCCTCCTCTTCCTTTTTCTCCTTCTGATTCTTTTTTTCTTGTCCTCAGCATTCTTCTTCTTCTCTTTTCCTCCTCCTCCTTCTTCTTCTTGTCCTCCTCCTCCTTTTTTCTTCGATATTAATACATTAAATAGAACTACTGCAATAATACTAATATTGTAGACTTCAGCAACGCAATGAGTTTAGATAAAAGCAACAATAATAAGATGAAGCATAACTAGGAATAAAATAACATGAAATAAAATTGTATCCAAACAGTGTTGGGATAAAAAGCCACATTTAAGATATTAAAGATAGAAAGATTTATAAGATAGAATACACTAGTAATAAAATATTAATAGTCACATTTTTTATGGATTATCAACCCTTTATGGCTTAATTAAAGCCGAAACGTATTTGGGGTTGTAGTGGTTGCTTACAGCGTCCCCCACTAAAGTATTGACAGCGTCCGCCTTTGCTTAACTTCGGTGTTCCAACGGAACCGGTAAATCAGTGAAAACGCTTCACATTAAAACTAAAGAAGGCAGACAACAGCCAGTGGTAAAAAAAAAAGGAAATTTCTTTTGAAGGGAAAAGGCAGATTTTTGACTTTCTACTAAATTTTCGCTCTATTCTAGTGTCCACCCCACGTGATATTTAATTCTTACATATTCAAAGTTTTACTGCAATTCACGTGAAAGAAGCTTAAAAGGCCATTGACTTGGTTCGTAAACAAACCTCCAAAGACCATGGCGTCCATGAAAGAGAAAAATAAAAAAAAGACAATTAAATATTTATATATATTGAAAACATAATAGTGAACTGAAAGGCAGAAATATAAAATTATTTGAATGAAATCTTATTCTCTAATATACTTTGATTATTTTAATCCTGAAATAATAATGCAAAATCAAATTTGAGCTCACTAGAAAACAATTCACTGTTAATAAGTCATTCTCGAATTGACCCCTTATTCTGTTGGTATAGTAAGCCGAAGGGTGCACATCCTACGCATACCCCACCAATATAGTGTTTATATTACCAAATTATTATAGGGTTTGATTACCAAACAAGGGGTGCGTATTATGCGTGAGTAGAATCATTTTCCCACACTTTCAGCACTGTTTTAGGGGTGCTTATTATGGATGAATACATGGGGAATTACGGCAGTTTCAAAACATATAACAGAGAACTGAAGGCAGAAATATAAAATATTTGAATGAAAGCTTATTCTGTAATATACTTTGATCATTTTAATCATGAAATAATAATGCAAAATAAAATTTGAGTTCATCACAAAATGACTGTTAGTGAGATCCTTGTGTGTCATGCCTGCTACAGATAGATTTTATATTAGGCACCAATTTAGTCAGCTTAAGACCCAAGTCTCTTCGTTTCGTGATATCCAGTCGATTTCTTTTCTTCAATAACAAATCATTTACAGCACTAAAGCCACATTCAGTTAACATTCAGTTAAATATGAAGATGGAAATGGTAACAACAATTTTCTTGCAATGGTGGTTGAATTTGGGTATTTAGATATTGTCTCATCACAAAACCATGCCATCACTCCTTTTTATATTGAATAAAGTTTTAACAGACTCATCATTTTGCATCTCCAAGAGTTCTTCTTGGTACTGCATTGAAACATCAGAAATATCCACTAGCATTGGCTGCATCACCCATGTTGGAAAATCAATTTGTTTTAGATCAGAAAGAAGGGTGCACATCCTATGCATACCCCATTAAAATTTTATGATGCCCAACCGTTGGGGCATTTGTCTCACGTTTGGAATCATGGCTCTAAAATAAAAAATAAAAAAAACCCGAAACCCTACTCTTCACGTTCGCCTCCATTTAAACAATAAAAAAGGGTTCTCCATTCTCACAGTTCCGTTCTTTCAATAAGCAAGACATTTGCAACGTTACACCCAGCAGTTTCCCACCCGGAAAGAAGAGAAGAAAAATAAATATAAGACTTGGATTGTCTTTCAGTCGGTAATCTGAAGCGAACACTTCCACCAAAAGACAGACAGTGAAAAAAACGAAAAGAATTGTTGAAACAGCAAACCCATTTTAGGGATTCAAAACTAAAGATATTTGCAGCTGGTATCTAAGTCTGGTAGAAGGCTACACATATTGAGCAATCTCCTTCTTTATGGGCCGCGTCTCTTCACAAGCACAATAGGTAGGTTGATCATGGCTCTCCACAACTTCCTATCCTTGTAGCTCGTAGTCCTTCTACTTTCCCCCACTGTCCCTGTTCTGCCATCCATTTACACCAGCATATTAGGTAGGTTGATCATGGCTCTCCACAACATCCTTTGTAGCTCTTAGAAATGTGTGACTTTACACAGTACCTCTTTGTCCGTGTTCTACTATCCATTTACACAAACTCATTAGGTAGGTTGATCATGGCTCTCCACAGCTTCCTATACTTTGTAGCTCTTATTAATGTTTGCCTTTTCACTCTCCTTCTCTGTCCCTGTTGAACTGGATCATAAATTCCTTCATTTATTCAGTTAGCGCATTTTGCACCGCCGCTATGGTCACCACTCCCTTCCATCTCCCAATTGTGGTCCATAGTGACATTCAGGGCAAAATAGTGCAATGTCTTACCGGTTTCTTTTGCAGCGGAGATGAAGAGGTTACCCACGTCCTTTCTCTTAGATTTTAAAGTGGAAAAACCTCCAAGGTAGCAGGTGGTTTGAATTCAGAGTTTTCTTTTTCCTAGATTGGCGATCATATATGGAGGCCGTGGGATTACCAGACTACATATCCCGGCAACCACTTTTTCGGCCGTACCTACAAGATCCAACGGAATACTGGTCATTACATTTGGGGACGCCTTGGCTGCAGGACATGCCGGAAAGTTGCCAGTGTTGACTGCCAATCGCCTTCAGGACTCCTCTCCGGATTTTCTAGCTGCATTTACTTCCATAGCCTTTTCCGTGTTTTCGAGATGACCCCAAGCGAGCGGAGGTTTAAATTAGGGCCTTCCTTCGTTTAAATGGACTGACTTCTTGAATTGTCGAACTTCATTTACACTAAGCTGAATCATCTATCGAAAATCATTTCCGCCATTAATTTTATATAGTACATTTTATGTTTTTTATAATTTCAATATTTTAATTTTTTTTTTATTTTCCCATATTTCGTACATTATAGTTTACACCAGTTTTATGTTTTAAATATAATTTTAATATTTTTTAAAGTTTTTATATGGCATTCGAGAAAATAAGTATTCAAAAATTGTATTGAAAATAGATAGATAGATAGATAAAAACAAACGGAGATAGATCGATGGATAGATACATACATACATACATGTATACAAACAAATGTAGATAGATAGATAGATAGATAGATAGATAGATAGATAGATAGATAGATAGATAAAAACAAACGGAAATGGATACATACATACATATATACATGTATACAAACTGACGTAGATAGATAGATAGATAGATAGATAGATAGATAGATAGATAGACTGAGAGAGATACGAACATATATTTTGATAGATATTGAACAGACTGAGATAGATAGATAGATAGATAGATAGATAGATAGATAGATAGATAGATAGAAACAAACGGAAATGGATACATACATACATATATACATGTATACAAACTGACGTAGATAGATAGATAGATAGATAGATAGATAGATAGATAGATAGACTGAGAGAGATACGAACATATGAAATAGATACGAACAGACTGAGATAGATAGATAGATAGATAGATAGATAGATAGATAGATAGATAGATAGATAGATAGAAACAAACGGAAATGGATACATACATACATATATACATGTATACAAACTGACGTAGATAGATAGATAGATAGATAGATAGATAGATAGATAGATAGATAGATAGATAGAGAGACTGAGAGAGATACGAACATATGAAATAGATACGAACATATGAAATAGATACGAACAGACTGAGATAGATAGATAGATAGATAGATAGATAGATAGATAGATAGATAGTCTTATTGTCCCCTCCTGCTTCATCCGAGTGTTATTTATTATGCCTTATTTTGCCTGACACAAGGACAATAATTCAGAGTTCGAAGAGAGACATGAAGTAACTTCTATTTGCAGATTTAAAACTTTCAAAGTAATTTCTCGGCGTTCTCAATGTGTATCACAGATTTTGAGAGCCAAAGGACGTGTGGAGGACCATGATTCCCCACCTACTGAAGGAACAACCCACAGAGATAGAGAGGAGGAGAGAGAGGGGGGAGAGAGAGGGAGCTCACAGATACATGTAAGTCTATAGAAATAATTTCAGTGGTCCAATCTATCAAATATTTCGGGGAAAATGGCCCTGGGAGTAGACGCGCTAACGATGGGCCTAGCGAGGCATGCCGTAGTAGGTCGATTTTTATCAAAGTGGGCTGGTCGGCAGATACAGAGCTGGGTTGGTAGGTGTACGTTGTCATGGCTAACAAATCATCTAAAAAAAAAACTTTTAACATAAGTATTTTTTTTCTTTATTTGTGTGTGTCAAGATAAAAATTATATTCAACTAAAGTCACGAGTTTTATTGTTACATACCAAATTTAGATATTTTTATTATGGTTTTATTCGTTGCATTATTATTATTATTATTATTATTATCATTATTATTATTATTATTATTATTATTATTATTGTTGTTGTTGTTGCAACCTATAGAAGGTTACTGAACAGAATAATCAAACGAAGGTTGGTAATGAACGATAATACTTAGGACAAGAACAGCACATATAAGATTCACCAGCGGCGCGTAGAAGAAGTAGTTTACTGCTAGAAGTTAGTCAAATGATCTCCACAATGCATCTCCAACTGCAGGATATCTACCAACCGCCCCACGCGGTCAGATGTAGCACAAGGCCGAATTTAATGTGGGATATTCGAGCCCGTAGGCTCGGACAAAAATTCCTTGTAAACCCCGTATAAAACAGAGTCAGGTAGCTGTTTCCCGAGACAGGATTCTGCCCTTCGACATAGCCTGCAAGGTCGAATTTACTGCTTATAAACCTTGCCTACCGAACGCTCCTTTGTGGCCGAGTCGGTTAAGGCACGTCAGCGTAAATGACGGTTCCGTATAGGATGCAGGTTCGAATCCTGTCTAAAGGACGAATATTTTCTATGAAAATTTCTCGGACATTCAGGCCGGTAAATGTTATTTAATACTGTTTATTATAAACAGAGCATTTACTTAAATACTTGTATCTATAAAAAAGAACGTTAAACATAAAAATGTCTTTAATAAATATATATATATAGTTTTCAAAGACGTATTTTTGTCGGCTGAAGATGCGAAATTTATCATATCTTTTCAACATGGTTTTTCCCAATTATCTTTTAGTATCTTTTGCCTGGATTTCCCTATCTGTCGGAACGCTGAAATTCTAGACAATGGTAACCTTTTCATTCTGTACAACATGGAGTGGCTTATGTTTCCGCCATTTTACGTCTTATTATTATTTTTACGCTTAAATTCATGCAGTCTTAGAACCAGCGAAAGTAGCTCAACGGGGTAGTTGCCGTGACAATATTTGTAGAAGAGACGTGACGTGGCTTCTCTCTGTCTTTTCTACAAGTATTTTCACAACTGCCCTGGATTCAAGACTGCGTGAATTTAAGAGAGCTACTGGGCTTGTATCTCAGTCCCACCCTTTCACTGTCGAAACGCTTAAATGTAGCCGTCTCTTCTACTCCAACAGCTTCTTCTCCCGCACTTCCCATCTGTGGAACTCCCTTCCCCTTACTTGCTTCCCTGATAACTATAATCTTCAAATATCCAAGTGTAATGCCAATCAACATCTGATACCTTGATCTTGTTCCTCGTCCTCTATATCCTTTCCTCAAACACGCCTCTTAACTCTTGTTCTCAATCCTCTGTAACCCCTTGCCTGCTAGTGGCACTCCCGCCTTGCTTGGGGTGGAATGTTTAAAAAATTATTATTATTATTATTATTATTATTAAATTTTGATTTCTGCTATGTTCACACTACCTAACAAGTCTGCGGGAAGACGTAAGGCAGGTAGTGGTGTGTTGTTATGGATACATTTCATAATTTGTTTTTCTAACTCCCATAACATCACTAGCGTTATATGGACAAAGTTCTTCTTAATGTGGGGGCTGTATTTATGGAGATAATTTTTATATTTCTCGTAAGCTGAGATTTCCAGGGATTTTTTTCAATGTGTTGCTGTGTTCCTTTTTTTATCATTCCAAGCGCACCTACTCTGACTGGTAAAATTCTTGTTTTCAATTTCCACATTTTTTTTTCTATTTCGATTTCCAGGTCTTTATACTTCGATTATTATTATTATTATTAAAACAAAGTTACGTAACTCTTCCAATCTTCTCAGCACTTATAGAAAAGCGCGATTTAAGAAAAGAAAAACAAATAAAAGATACAGTGTTTAAGAATGTTCAATATTATTTCGACTGTATGTCTGTCATCTTCAGGTTATGTGTTAAGTTTACTTGTGTGCAATTTTTAAATATAATTCCAAGAAGACAAACATACTGTAGAAATAATATTGAAAATTCTTAAACACTGTCTTTTCTTTTTCATTTCTTAAATTTCGCTCTTCTGTGATTGTATTTTTATTATTATTATTATTATTATTATTATTATTATTATTCAGTGAGATTTGACCCCAGTAGAAACTGTCGGTTTTTTCCGGGGTCAAGTGAAAGCAAGCCTTCGGAATACATTATGTTAGATTTTTTTTTAAGAATTTAATATTTTCACAATAGTATGATTTTTTTTTTTACAGTAAGGTTCACCCTGTAGAAGGTCCGGTCGTCACTTTCAATTGAGAGTTCATTTAAGAGGTTGTTCTTACGGATAAAAGAGGTTTTGTTATCCCTATTTAAAAAGATTTTAATCAACCAATATCTGTCTATATTTCTGAGATGAGGTATTATGTACATTATTTACATTATTCGGACTATTGTATTCATCTTTGTCGCCATATTTATTACAATGTTTCGGCCGTTGTACGTTCCGGTCTTCTACAGGTGATTCGAATGTCGAACTGAACCCTTTATTTCGCTCACTGGGATAGACTGTTCTAGTTCCACGTGCCATGTTTAATGGATGTCAGTTATCAGTTATCTTCTGTTAATTCCCCTCTCCAAGTTCTCCACTGGCTTAACCGGGTATTGAACTCACACTCTTTGGGTCTTGTCACTGGATCTAACCAACACCTTTATTCACTGTGCCATGTGTCCTTAAGGACATTCCAACCACCTGAAGAAGGCCGGAGCGTACAACGTCTGAAACGTTGTAATAAATATGGCGACAAAGATGAGGACAATAGTCCGAATAATGTAAATAATGTAATCAACCAATGTTTGTAAAAATGGATCCAAACGAACCAGCAGGTTTTAAAGAAGACTATACTGCAGCAGATCTCAAATGCCTGGCGCTACATGATCATGAAGATTTCAAAAGAACTAAAATAACTAGCACACAAGAAAGTAATGATGTTGTCTAGTAGTTGACTTTTATCACTACCTTAAACAAAAGGTTAGGAAGGAAACTGACGTCGATTCTAGAAAGGGTGATAACAGCTACTAGACTTGTGAAGTTTTCTTTCTTTCTTTTTATGTGTTGTGTCCCTTCAGGACGTAGTCGATCATGGCTCTCCACTACTCCCTATCTCTTGTAGCTTTCAATAAGTTTTGTCTCTTTGCTACTCCCCACCCAGGCCATGTTCTGTCATCCACTTGCTTAACCCCGCTAGGTATGTCATGCGTTGCTTTCCCTTGTCTTTCTTTCCGTCTAATCGACCTGTGAGTATCAGACTCTCCAAGCCCTCCTTTCTCATTACGTGTCCCAGAGATTTCAGCTGTCTCTCCCTGATGTTAAGTATAAGCTTCCCCCTTGTTTGAATCCTCTTCAAGACCTCATCGTTGCTCACACGCTCAGTCTATGTGATCCTTAGCATCCTTAAAAAAATCGTTTTGATGAAAAGATTTTGTAAATTTCTATTTGTTCAGTCAATGGATTGTCGAACTTTTTTTTTTTTTGTACAGAAACGGTTTTCTGGATTCAAGAAAACTGATTCGACCTGATTAATGTTGGGTATTATTACTAGTTTTAAATAGTTTTCTCGTTCCCAATAAATAAATAAAAAAAAAAGTTTTTATTTTTCTTAATACTTATTATTTCCTGCCTAAGAAAATATTTTCTTTTTCTTTATAATAATATTTTCTTACGGTCTTTATTTTATTTCATTTATATATATATATATATGTAAACACTTTTTCAAAACTTTTATCATTTCTTTCAAACACTTAAAAACAAAAATCTATGCGTAGGAGGAGAACGAAAGAATTGTAGAATGGGTCAGGTATGTGTGCTTCAAAGCCGAAACGCGATTTAAAAAGAGGGAAAAGGACGAGTTATTAACTGGAGGGAAAGAGAAGGAAGCCATTAAGGTCGGAGACAATGGCGTATGTATAGTGAAAAGGCGGTCCATTATTTATAAAGGGCCATCTTCAATACTTTCTCGTCCTGTCGCTTCCTGTGAGGCAAGTAGGTCGTCTTACCTTGTTGTCACCCTCTTCCTACCCGTGTCCCATCCCGATCAAATGAGCCACCCTACCGACCAAGGGCTTATGAGAGTAGTATTGTACACCAGATCGGGTGGCTACCTCCTCGAAATAGGAATATAACTAACAACGCCCACACTGAAGGTATTTGTCTGGCACAAGGTCACGTTAATAGAGCACCGAGTGAAGCAAAAATGGCTTGAGAGATAAGGACACCAAACAGTATTTTTAAGCAGATTTTTTTCGATTTTATTTTTTATTTTATTTTATCTTTTCAACCTAGGTAAGAGAATAAAGCCACTAAGATGCACGGTGTTTCTTTAAGGTGAAAGAAACTGAGAACCCTTTATTGGGAAGAGTGATATAAAAAAAAGATTTAAAGGGCAGGAGAAGAAACTATTAGTATAGAACTTACGGTTGCATTTAAAAATTTCAACAATAAAATGATGAGACCTTACCGCCAATCTAGTACTGCGCTTAAAGTCACAGAGTCTAGCTACCATAGATGAAAGTTCATCAGAAAAATTACCATAAAAATATTTAGAGAAAATGCATAGGGAAGCTACATTACGGTGATAGGAAATTGACTGAAGTCTAGTTGCCAAGTCAGGACCAATAACATTGCAGATTCTTCTCTCGATTTTATCAAGAATCTCTAAGTACATAGCAGAAGCACCAGACCGTATGTGGCAGTAATATTGAAAGCAAGGACGAATGGTAGAATTATGAACGCGTAAAATAGATTCGGGTGAGAAAAATTATCTCCCACGACATAATGAAACAGTTTTTCTAACAGTTGACCTGGCAATTGTTTCAATTCAATCATTCCACTTCGTGTCAGCGTAAAAAAAATCGCTCATTCACCTGGAGGTTAGCATCAGC